AATGTATTAATGTATCTATACCTGTCCCTGTGAAGCAGAGATAATGCCGGGGCAGCTGGCAGGCTGTGTGTATGTAACAGCTCCTTGGATTTGAACCTCCAGATTTTCAGAAGGCGATCTGCTCCCACACTAACTGTCAACTGGTTCAGAGCATCCACAGAAACCCCACGAACAGACCCTGCATGTGCTGCACACACAAAAAATGCCACTGAAATCAGACTTAAAATCGCATGTATTTCACCCCTGATGTTCAGTATGTTAACTTACCCTTGTCCTTTCCAAAATGCCCTCGATGAAATCCAGACTGCATGTTGTACACATCAATGTGTCCTGAAGACAGTGCAATCACTGCAAAGTTCCCGCAGGATGTGATATCAACAGCCTGGACAACATATGACCAAACTGGATTTGAAATCATCTGTTATAAGACTGAATGATCAGGTAAACACACACTTATTATCTACAAACTTACAGTTGCATGGACATTGAGGCTACGGTTCTTGTTGAAGCGTTCAGGTTCCAGCTTGTGGGCACCAATCGAGCCTTTCTGGTAGTTCCATGTCGTAGTCACAAGGAAACCACGGTGGCATGCAATAATGCCATCCCAGTCACTCTGACGAGCAGTTTCTATACAAAACAACAGCATAAATACAGCATTACACAGTTATGGCTTTCAGTATTTTAATTTATAAGGTCATTCTAACACTGTTTTGGCTAGTATCAAGAGGTCAGCAAGCATGGAGCTTAAAACATAAAGGGATAATTTATCCAAAAAAAAAATTTATTCTCACCCTCATGTCATTCCAAACACATAATACTTTTGTTAATTTTTCGAACACAAATCCAGTTATTTTTTTATGAAGTTCAATATTATTAGGAATCTAAACTGTGCATACTTGAACCAATGAGGATTGTTCTTGCGCATCATGCACACACACGACTGCACTTCTGTTTATAATATTTGATGTGCACTTTCTATGTGGGTTGATCAATGTTTATATGTGAAAGGCCAAATTTAAAACCCTCATAACTGAGACTTAGATTAAATTGCTTAATTCATATGGATTACTTTTACAATGTCTTTATGTGCTTTTTGAAGATTGAACATTTTGCTTGTGTGGACTTTCAATGGATGGACAAAACTGATGAAAGAATATTAAAAATATCTTAATTTGTGTTACAAACATGAACAAAAGTTTAATAAGTTAATGATGGCAATTTTCATTCTGGGGTGAACCAATTATTTTAAATAAATATATATATATA